AGGGAGCTAACTCTTTAGCGCTGTGGAATAGGTCGCGCACGCGGACCGAGACAATCATTCTGCAGCGCTATTATTAGAAAGCACCTGACGCTATATGTGACAGAACGCAGCGCGAATGAGGCCTCATCCCCACTTTGCGCGGCCTAGCGGACTACCGTCGCGACGGCCACGTGGCTCCCCACTACGTCGGTTATGTTGGTCCTCGTCTTTAGACGAAAACAAACATGAAAACAAACGTAGTCCACGAGAGCAAAAGCTCTCGTTCGCGTTAACGCTGATATCGAGCCGACACATGCTGTCGATGCCGCGGCTTTATAAAAAGCAAATTAATTGACGTATCGACAAGAAATAAAGAGTAAACTTTTTGGCACACCTTTGAACACGTGACTGTGTCGCTGTTTCACTGACAATCTAGAAGAATCAAGTGTCGTGATCAATTAAAGCACGACGAACACGCTTACAACGTGCAATCTCTCTCTCTCTCTCATCTATAGTAGAATTGTTTAGATTCTTCTTTTTATCCCACCTGTTGTAAAAGTGAGATTCATATTGTTACTATAACAATCGGTAGATGTATATAAACAATCTATACGACATTCCTGATCGTTAACAAATCGTAAACAAAGGATCTGAAATTATTTCCGATGCAAATTATGCAGATACTTGCAGATTAAGTATATCAAACTGAATAAAGACATCCTACACTATTTATCATATATGTGTAATATCTATTATAAAGATATTAACTAAGGAAAGTTCGCGAATGAGTACATCCCACCATATTATGCGTAATCATTCACCCATTTTCTTCGATTAACATCTTGATGATGAAAGGTGTCTTATGGAAAATAGCGTAGGACTGTTCAGTTTGACATATACTGCGAGTCGAACTTAAATTCAGTATTCTGTACACGTAAGATAGAAAAAAAGACTCAATTAAGTGGTATAATTAGGTCCCAAACATCGACTGAGATGTAACAGCCGTTCAGATTAGATCGTATATTTTCCGCGAGAAGTTAACAAATTGATGCGCATTCAGGGGAGCCGTGAGAAAAATTTGTCACTAGTTCTCGGCGACAAGCGTCGCGGTGTCTCCGGGCCCGCGGAGTTCCCGTCGATAAGTCGATAAATCGCGGAGTGGCCCGCACGGCCAATTTAATTAATAATTATCGACTCGAGGAAGAGCGCCTCGCACAATGGCGATACTTCCTTCTGGCGTAATCCTCCGAAGATTAACGAGCCCGTACCAGAAGGGACCGCTCTCCACCGCCTCCTGGCGCCCGAGACCTCCCTCGCCGTCCTTCCTATGCTATATCGTCCTCTCTTATAGCCGCAAGACGCCATGGCGCGCCTTGCGGTGGTTGCGGCAAGAACCCTCGCCGTACCCGCATTAACGCAATTATGAATTTGTCGCGTTGGGATCTGACAATACAAGATGTCGCAGCCATTCCCCTGCCGCGCACCCACCCGGCCGGAGCCGCCGCCCTGAGACCCTTAGCCCGGCTTTCCTCGTTTACACTAAAACCGATTTTGTGGACTATATGGATCGAGACGACGTGACATAAATGCAATTTGCCGGGCCACATGGACGGTCACGTAGGTGCGACGATAACGTTAGAGCAGTAGTTATCGTTAATTCCAGCGCGTGGACGGACTGTCACGAGGGATGAGATCGGACGCGATTTGTTCTACGAACGAACACGCACGCGCCTATCGCGACTTGGCTGCGATACTTGAACAAATCCGAGTTTCAACGCCGCTACGTTCGATCTATTTGGAGAACAACCGACATCACAGATTGCTAGCTAGAAATCGGAACAACATAGACGTCATGAGACGCCGCGAAACGACGTTAGCTGCTCTGCCAATTCGTAGACCGCCCGGCTTCCTTCGTGCCACTTATCGCGCCACGCCGAAAGCCTAAGAAATATTCAAGCGGCGCTTCGCCCTGTCGTTTTCTCCCTCACGAATCAATATCCAATGTATTTCGTGCGCCCGCCTTGTTAGCCGTGCCGTTCGTTTTGCGGCGCGGGAAGCAAGTGTAGTTTCAGCGGCCCTAAGTTAGTTTCGAACGGTCTCGTAGAGCAATAGCAGTAGCAGCGACGGCCTCTTATCTCTCTCTGTCTCTGTCTCTGTCTCTCTCTCTCTCTCTCTCTCTCTCTCTCTCTCTCTCTC